ACTTTGTTGCTAGCTTCAGGAATGCACCAGAAATGATTGTATTCAAATGAGGATAGAAAGGTAAGGCTCCTATAAGAAACTGCAGGATGGGGGTAATGGTAGACAAAATTCCTTATGCTGTTCATTAATATTGAGTCATTTATCAAATAACTGTTTGGGAAGTATTGCTACAGTTCAACTGGGAAAGTCTATAGCCAGTGTTGTATTTCTAATAGATGCTAAAGTAGTGCCAGATAGCGTTGTCACCCAGAGAGTTGCCTCTTGCATCATTCGTAAATTTAACCCTTACCAGAGGCTACCTCAGGCTTGAGCCATTCTGCCATGAAACCTCATTGACAAGCCCTGTTCATAAATGCATGGTTCTACCCATTCCTCCCCTTTAGTGTAAAGCAGGTGTTTTAAGCTCTGTGAATTTAAAAAGTGTGTTTCTAAATGAAGGCTGGTATGAACAATCTCCCTTAAAATCTAGAAAATTAGTTGTTCAATTGATTCCATTATTAAACTTTCTGTCCAACACACTGCAAAAATTCAGATGCTCACTTCAATTCATGTTAAAGGTATTTAGATTTGAAGGTACTTAACATGTTGGATATAATAATAATAACAATTTAAAAAAAAGCAGACGAGCTGCCTTATACTGCATTTTTGGGAGGTGTCTGTAAGTGGCAGCTGTCAGGAATGGGATGTGAGGTGAGGGAGGTCTTCAAGGGCTCAGTCTAGCATTTCTTTTCTTGCTGCAGATTTTTCAGGTCTCTCTTTCTCCATACTCTACTGTCTTTCTCTTTTTACCTTTTTTCCTTCTAGCTCCAGCGGAGGCCCTCTCCTCCTTGCTAGGCACTGAGGCTGTGTACTGCCTCCCACACTCCATCTGAAGCACAGTGTATTGGGTTATAAGCCATCTAGCAAAGGGTGTTCACTTCAGGTGGGCAGTCAAGCTGAAACACAGCTTCTGAAGATTTTCTGCTTTGGTTATACCAAATTTTGTGACAGCTCATGAGGTCTGCTCCATCATGGCTGCTTCCTGCTGGCCCAGCAGCTTCAGTGAGACAAAGGGAATAGTAGTTTTACCCGTGAAGCTACCAAAGCAGCTTTCATCTCTTGCTCTGTCAATGTTCGCTGGCTCTGCCAGCTACCAGAGCTTTTTCCACTGCATACCTATAGAAAAAAAAAGTCCAGAATTTTTTTTATGGGGTTGACCCAATCTGTCAGTCCAAGAACCACTTTTACAAGATGTGCATGATGCACACCCACCTCAATGGTGGTGGAACAGAGCCCAGCAAAGCTCTGCAGGGTGCAGATGAAACATTCCCTGGCTCACAGTGAGACAAAAAGGTGATAAACAGCAGCACCTGGGGAACATTCCCCTTCCCACCTACCACCACCACCTTCTCTCTCTTGAAAACACAAACAAGCCAATCCAATTTGCATTTTCGTAGCTGGGAGTGATTGCTAGATTAATGAGCACTGCTATTTATATCTAAATAATCATAGTCCTAAACAACTGCTGGGAGGCATCAGTAGGGAAGGCATGTTTCTGGGCAATGATTTTATGAGGTTTGGGCAGCACTTGCCATCAGACGGAGGAAAACACGTCTGAATTCCAAAAAAATGTTTTACCATATTTTGGACAAACTAAGGGAAACTGGAAGAAGAAAGTTATGCTAGCAGTGTATGCAGACTTGGCTTGCTTACCAGAGTATGCTGGCCTTAACACTGTTCAGAGGAAATACTTTCGCTAAGCAGCTTCCTTTAACGATCTTAGTTGCCACAACCCTGCTTGGGACTTCAGCATTATGCTGTACTGCCCAGATACATAGGGTACCCATCGTTGTTCCTCCCAGGCCAGAGTGTGTGAAGAGCCCTTGCAAGCCAGCTATGCCCTTGCTGCCTTTGGCTGAGTTTCTGCAAAGAGATTCTCTTGGCTTAGCGTGGAGCTTGCAAAGCCACTTAAATCTCTCTGACCCCTTAATGAAGTTTTTAAAAGGGCTTCATAAATCTTCATCACTAAGAACTGCTTAAAGCCCTGCAGGGTTTCTCTAGTGGCACTAACAACTAGAACAAGTAGACAGGCTCAGGTATATTTATTGCATTCATCTTCATTATTCCATGGGTTTTCCTTCCTTATAGTCTTTTACACAAGCTGCAGCCAGGAAAGGGAGCTCAGGAGTGGGAGCTCTGATTCAACACTGACATGTCGGATCAGTCCTCTTCTTGGGAATGTTTTCTGTGCAGGCAGAACTGTATGTTTGTCATTTATCCTTCCTTATTTAAATCACCATGTTGTTCTTCATTTGGGAAAGAACCTCATTTTTGCCTTTCCTGTGAAAACATACCGCAGGTCACAACCTGACAGCTCCAAAATGGATTAGTTGTCTGCCTGCCCTTCTGGTTTTTTTTTCTTGGAATTTTGGCTGACTTTGGTAATGGCTTTTTACGAGTAGCATCAGTATTCTCTGAAATAACTTGCAGCTTGATGGATATGTAAGGATTCCTAGGAAAATACATTGTTTTTTAAAAATTTTTTTGCATGCCATGTATCGCACTCTCCGGAGTGTGTAGATTCTGTATATTCCATGCAGGTTGTTTGGTGCTTTACCCCTGTGAAGTGAGGACAGAAAAGGCATGAAGGAGGTTAACAGATAAACAGAAAAATACTCCAGTGAAGGTAAAGTCCCTGAAATCAGTGAGACCCTTTGAAGAAATAGTTCCAAGGCTAATTCTGTAGACAATGGACTAAAGCTCTATTGAGTTCTTAAAGGATTGGAGGTCTTTGTAGTCCAGCCAAGCTTGGGCTACTCCATTCCATCACAAAATCATGCTTTTGTGAGCTAGATGATTTTCAAGGTTGACTTTTAATTCGGCATTTTGTTTATGACATGAGGATACAGTAGAGTGCCATGGAAGTGCTCCTTTAGAGCCATGGCGATGTTATATATTTTAAATTTATTTGCATTACAAGAAGGTCTGCAAACCTCAGGGAGGACTGGAACAGTGCACATGGAGTAGAAGAGAAGCCATATGCTTGTGCAGGCAAACAAGGTCTTCTTACTGAAAAGTTTGACACTGAAGTCTTAAATCTGCCAGAAGTGCCAATCATCATGATTAACAAAATCATCCAGTTTCCTAGTCTAGGTCAAGACTGGCAGGAAAAATAAAGGCTTATGAACATGGTAGAGGCTCAAAAGCCAGACTGTGATGTGTATGTAAGGTAGGTTACCTGAGGCATTAAAGGAGATCTCCAAACTCACTTGAATTGGTGTTTCTTCCATTGACTTCAGTGGATTCTAGATGATATCATGCTGTGACGCTGTCACATGTGAACCAGTCAGATAATTGGTTTTAATATAGGAAACTGTAGGATGGGTTATGTGATGCAGCGTATTGCCTGCTCTACAATGCATTGGTTAATAACCAATGTGCTAGGGACACACTTTTACCCTAATGGGTATAAGATTAGATATTATCTGACTTCCCCTATGCTTAAAGGCTATGCAAGTTCACCCAAGTGCTTACACAGGTGTTACCAAAAATTTGAATTGGGCTGTAGCTTTCAAGTCCTCAAAAGACAAAAAGCACAGGCAGGGGACTGAAGAAGTCAAAGGGCCGCCATAGCCTGAGGTCCAAAAAACGTCAGGAAGTTGGAGAGATAAGAAAGAAGATTTTGGCAAGTGACTCATGGCCTGTGCTTTAAGAAAAGATGGAAGAATCCAAAATGACCTGGCAGAAGTTCTTACTCAGTCCTGAGTCATATACACAGCTTGATCCTTTGCATGTAAGCAAAACATTTAAAGCTGTAAGCCTAGGTGGCTTCTGTCCTGTGTCCAAGGCATTGTCACTGACTATATGCCTGCTCCTAACCCTGTCCATTTAAGCCTTCTCCTGACTGAAAGTTAGCCATCTAAATGTCTTTAAGCCTCATGAGTCAGCTGAGGCTTCACTTGCACTGTGTTTTCCAGTGATATAGGTCACATGACTGCAAATCACTAATGTAAATGAACCAGGCTGGGGTAGGAAAGTAACACTGGTCCAGCACTTCTGCACTAGGAATTTGGAGCAGAGATGCCTCATGGCAGGAAAGGCAAAGTTTAAGTTCATTCTGTGAACCATCACACCATAGTCCCATGATACACTGCCTTTGGCAGCTAAGCTGCTGCAACCAGCTCCTGCCCCAGATGTTTGTTTCCACCTCCGGCCTGCAGTTTGTCACCTCCTCAGTCATGCCAAAACAACTGTGTGTACAGCAGTGCTAAAATCAGCACACTGAGGTGATGGAAGTTAAAAATAAACTCTTTGTGGGAGGAAAAGAGGGAGAGCTATTTTTGATTGTAATAATTTCAATGGTCTTTCTTCCAGTGTGGGCTCACAAGGAATTCCATTAACACAACTGGGAGAAGGCAGTGGATTGCTGCACTGGCTGGCACTGGAGTGACTCCTCCAGGCAGAAGATTCCCTCCTGGCAGAGGGAGAAGACTTTTTAAGCAAGGATTGCATCAAGGCCAATGTGCTATAGAATTGTACCTTCCAATATGCAGAATTATGTCTTCCCTGCCTGGTACAAAACCAGACTCGGGTATCCCAGGCTCTCCATTTGCTATTCTGTCTCCTAGATCGTCTTAGCATTCATTTTAAAAATTATTGTATGCAAGCCAGCATTACTACTAACAAAAACAAATAAAGAGACACTGAGGTTTTTTCCTGTTTTATAAACAAATACCCCTTATAATCATTCTGAATACTAGCCTCCTCCACAATTTGTTATAGTATGGTTAGATGTCACCCATTAAAGTCTATTCAAAATGCACAGTAAACTGAGCATAAAAAACATCAGAAGAGATTTAAAAAATGTTTTATTGAATAAAGTTCATTACATGATCAAGAAATGAAATACTTATATGTTCCTTAAACAGCATGAAAAGTTTAAGGAAAAATATCTGAAAAGGGTTCAAAATGTTGCAGTGTAGCTACAATCTGGAAATTCGCAGAATAATTCAGCAACTTACTTTTGTTTTGGCCTTGGTCATTTCTGTGCTTTGATGAGCTTCTCTGTGAACAAGTAAGTGATATGTGCAAAGCCTTGGTTATCTCTTATGTTCAGGCATCTCAGTGATTCACTTCTGTTTGAACAGGAAACACATCTACTTGCATCCAAATGCTTCTGCACCATTGAAGCCTGTAAAATATAGGCAGCTTTCAAACTGCTGTCCTCTTTTGAAATAAGTACTTTTTTGTGTGTATGTTTTCATGTTGTTCTATGATATTGAGTGAGTTTCAAAGCTCTTCTCAGGAAAATGGGGCAGTAGTTTAACTTCCAGCACACAGGAAAATGAAGTAGTATCCTGAGTCCCACATCAATGCATCCTTCTTTGGGACTCATGATCCATGTGCTGGATCACACCAATCCCTGGGTGCTTGGGTGTATGGGCAGGATTCAAATTGAAATTACTAGGGTCTGAGTATGTTTAGTATATCCTTCAATTCTCTTTTAATAAAGAGAACCAAGGGCATAGTGACTCACTTTTGTATTTAGATGATATAATTGTCTCATGAACTCTGTACAAATTACCTCTTCTCTGTATTGTTTTTGCAGTGTATTGTTTTGCTTGAATAATATGGCACATATCCAGCGAATATTGCAGTCAATAAAGTACCTTGGTTTATAGTTTGATGGCCCACAAATGAATAACTGACATCAACAAGAATAATTAAGTCGCTGTTCTTTTTAGCACCATCAGTACTCTTCATTTAGAACACTAAATTTATTTTTAATTATTAACACATTTCCTTAAAAGCTTATTTTTGTGGGTTTTTTTATTACCAAGAGGTAACCACAGATGAACTGTTTTGCTCAGCTTTCAATGAATTTGTGATTCTAAGGTTGACATTAGAGTGTAATGATGTAAAGGAAATTGCATTTTACTGCATTCTAATTAAACAGGTAAACTTGTTGTAGGCCTTTCTCCAGCAAAAGTCCCATAGGAGTCTGGTCCTTCATCAACAGATTTTATTTTCTCCTTGAGCTTTGCACAGCAGGTTTCTGTCTTCCAAATACAGGAATGATAAAATAATTTAATCTGTTAAACAGCGTATTTTTGACATTCAGACTGACAGATACGGGAAGTATCATAGTGCTGAGTAACATAAAGGATATGCATTGTTATTCCTCTTAGTAAAGTGTAATTTCAGGTGTACTGGATTCTACTTTTATGCAAAGAGTTGGGTTCATCCAAGGTAACCTGTGAGCCAACCAGAGCCACTGAAACCCCATGGGTTTGTTGGCCATAGCTTCGTGCCTGCTTTGGGGTTATGGACCCAAGACAGCACTTCTTCCTTGTGCTGAGGAAGAGCACATTTGGGGGCTGTGTTTTCACCTGGGCCCTGCTGCCGTCCAGGGATGCAGGGACTGAGTTGTACACCCCATCTTCCAAGCAGCAAGGACAATGGTGGGTCCTTCTCTCCTTGCATTGCACCTGGGCAATGGCACTCCCCCTTGTTACTGCAGCTCTTGCTGAATCCAAACTTGTATTTTTTCAGTTCACTTAGCTACAGTCACAGAGCCCTGGATAGGATTGTCCCCATCACTCTCCCCCCCTCCCATCCACTTAGTATTTTTCTCCAATCCTACCCTCAATCCTAACAAAATGTTTAACATATCCTACTTTCACTGTAATAATGCTGGCTATATCCAAAAGGCCCAGACGACATGAAGAATTCACCCAAAAATACTCATATTACCATTCAGCCAAGCTCTTGTAGGGTTTGTCCTGCTGACTTGGTCCAATCCTGGTTAATTCATAGGGCTTCCTTTTCCAGTTGAGCTTTAATTGTTTGCTTTCCAGTTCTCTCCATGGGCTCAACCTAGTCAGCTCCATGCTCCACAAGTCCAAATGCTGAGCTAAGGTTAGCATATTTCAGTATAGAATATTTTTACCCTTCCAGTAGCTACAGGTCACAATCATTAGTTTCTCCTATCTACACTTATTAAAGGAAACACTTGTGAAAGATATGTCACCTTCTGGACCTCAGAGGTACATGTAGTTCCAAGCAGGCACAAGAAAAACATGTTTTCTCCATTTCTTGCAAGCAGAAATTAGGTTAATTTCTTTGGAAAACTCCTTCTAAAGGAAACTTCATTCAACAATTCTGTTGAAGTTATCAAAAGCAAAACCAAATTCATTTGAAAACAGCGCAGATCACAGAGTTTGTGAGATGAGTAGGAACGGTTCTCATAGGTAGTAAGAACTAAAATAAGAGTATAGCATTAATTCTCATTTTAGGCTGAATTATACTCCTCTCCAGTTCCATGAGTGAAATATCTTGGAACTTATTCATGTTAGACTCTACCTTTTCCAGAAAAAAAAAAGGTTTTAAACTTTCAACCCAGAGTACAGACAGCAGTTTCAGCCAGTTCAGGGGTTGTTGCTTTCCCTGTGTCCTGCTGTCCAAGCAGAAAACAAAAGCTTTGCTGTAGTTTCTGGTGGCTAAGCAGGGATCAGGAGCTGAGGTTCTTGGCTTCTAGTTCAGGCATGACAGACCTTTCCTACCTACCCAGGTGTAAGCCTGTTACCAAAATGAAAGAGAGAGGAAAATGCAAACCACTTTGTCTGCCTTCTCAAGATGAACCTTGTTGCTAATTTGATTCCAAGTTGATTTTCTTTAAAGGGTGAAATAATTCAAAAAACAGCACAAAAACTTTATTTTGGATAAAATGAAACATTTGGATTGATATGAGCTTTTCTGGAGGCAAATAGTTTGGCTTAGTATAGAAGATGAAACACTTTGATTTAAGTAGTGCTACATAAAGCTGTTGTCACTACAGCCCAGCTGGAGATCTGTGGGGAGTGGTACTGCATAGGGTGTCACATATGGGGTGCTTGGAGGAAAGCCGAAAGTAGCTAGGGAAAAGTTTTCATCTCCCAGCACTCCCAGGCTCTGACAGTCCCACCTCTATTGGATTTATCTGTGGCACCAAGAGATGCCACTGATGTCAGTGCTCACTGTTGTCCTTTCTGCTGGGGTCACTGGCCCCCGGAAGTAAACACAATGTAAGTTTATAAGGGTGTACTGGCCACAGAGCTGGATCTGCCATCTTCAGTGTCCATGCAACAGCACGACATCTGCATCATAAAGAGGTGCTGTTAAACCTGACAGAGCCTGACATAAATCACAGAGAGCATCTACATTACCTTTACTATTAAGTTCATTACAGGAACTATGGTAGCTGCTGAGTTAGGGCTGATTGGGTTTGTTTGGGACCAACAGCTTCCGAGCTGTGACAGCAGAAAACTTGGCATTAGCTGACCAAATATGCATCTGGAGTTTTTAACAGAATCTGCTTAAAGCCAGCTTAGTTAAATTAAAACCATGACTTGAAGGGCCAAGTGGCAATTCTCATTGTGAACTTCAGAACGGATCCATTAGTAAGGTTTATTGCTTCAAGAGGAATTTCCATGGAGGTCTGTGGCACTGGCTCTTCATGCTTAAGTCATCGTGGGACAAATTCCAGCTGAATGAGCAGCCTCAGACATTTTTAGTATCTGGAGAAATGAGCAGAGACACAGAAGCAGGGCTTCTTTGTAAGCCCTGTTTCACATGCACTATCAACAAAAACAGCCTACAGTAACATCACAATGCAAATGCACTGCTGCAAAACAAATAATACATGTGAATTTATAGTAACACTGGGTTGTTTCTTTTGGTTTTTTTTTTTGGTTTTGCATTATTTCACAGGTGAATATTAAAGTTGTGCGTGGCTAAACTTATGTTTGATGGTCACTGGCAAATGCTAAAAGCATGATCCACATACCATCCATGATGGATGTGGATGTTAGTACAGGCAGAGGATGTTAGCAGCAACCCTCTGAAGTTATCCTGTAATACTGTTGCATGGTGTTATCTTTAGAGTTTACTGAAAGTGAGCAGGTCCTTTTTTTTTTTCTCCTTGGAAATAGTAGTCACTCTACAGCCTGCCATCACACTGATTTACTCTGAAGATTGTTACTTCAGAAAAAGGCTGCTGTCTTTATCCACATTAAGGATACAAAAAAACCCAACCCCCACCAAAAAAAAACCCTCAAACCCGAGTAACATCAGAATTACACCTATCTACTTTGTTACGGTGTTCCATCTGTAATAGTAAAACTATTATGTCCATTAAGAAAGATAAATTAAGAAAGTGTTTGTATGCAAAAAATGCAAAAAATAACAACATGAAAAATGCCTTATGTATATCAAACTACACTACTTCTTGCTCATCTAATTAGAATTAAAAGAAAGTCGTTTGACTCCTTAAAATTCAGTCATCTGTGACCTTTTAAAATCAGTCAATAACAGCAGGGGAACAGTACATTATAACCGCCCAGTTTGGGGACAATCGGCTTTTTAATTGTTCTTCTTATGGTTTGCAAATACTGGTGTCCTTTAATATTTAATTATTAATTCAACATGAGCAGCAACAACGGCTGCATAAAACCAACCTTTTCCTAAAGTAATCGAAAGGTGCGACTTAATTGCACGCCCTCTTTGGTCCTGGAGGCTTAAGCGAAATGGATAAACACTGCCAGTGATTACATGAACGAAATGGAATTGCGGTATTCCCACGGCGAACGTATATATTTGTACTTTTAACTGCAAATAGAGGGCTATGTCCGCGAAGCCATTAACACCTAGGGTAAGAAAGGCAAAAGGGAAGGCGTCGCGCCCCCGGAGGTGAATTAGCAGCATCGCTTATCTTCGGGCCGATGGGGATGGGACCCACACGGCCGGGAACTGCCTCCGCGGCTCCCTTCGACACCTCCATCTATCAAACGAAGGGCAGAGCCAGCGTCTGCGGGGATGATAGGCCAAGGGGGGTACACCCATTTTGCCTGTCGGTGGGGCCCCACACGTCTCGTCGGAAACCTCTCCTCATCTCCTCGGTCTGCATGCTACCTCCCGTGGCATGCTTAACGCATACCTTCCGAAGGCAGGAGTCATCCACTTACTTTTGATAGCAGCGCGGAGCAAGGCTATTAATAGGCTATCTAATTACCCCGATCTACTAACTCTGAAATCTCTGATTCTGTGATGTGGTTGTTTTGATTTGATTTTCCAATCCAGTAGGGCTTCCATTTATAGAACTGGTCAGACTCGCTCTGGAAGATATTATTTTAACGTTTAAAATCAACTTTCATTCCAAGCAGGAACAAAGTCCTCAAATTTTGGCATTTCTCACGAAAGCAATTAGTGAAAACATTATTAGTTCGGATGGAGGGAAGCGATTTGCTTAGCTAAGATTGCGAATGTCGTTGTTTGGAATTTTATTATTATTATTATTATTCGGCACTAGGTCTCAGACATTTCGATCAGGCAGGTAAATGGCGAGAAAAGCGGTTTCAAAAAGAAAGGCGAGAGTCTGTCGCGATGCCAAGAGAAATGGAGCGGCCCCGCCGGATCTCAGCATGGACACGCATGAAACAGAACTACTCCCGAAAAATGCTTCCAGGAGGACGCATTCATTTTGTCCTGTGGAAAACATTTAACTGGAAGATTTTTATCTGTTCTGATTGTTCATTTTATTTCCTGGGCAGAGAAGTAAGAAGACAACTAAGGCAGGGGAGTGTTGTATGGCAGGTTTCGATGCATAAAACGATATTTCTTTCACGGCAGTGGCGACAACCGTCCAGGGAGCAGTTGGTGACGGTGGATTTTGCCTGTGTGGGGTGTGGGGGTTTTTTGTTTGGTTGGTTTTGGTTTGGGTTTGGGTTTGGGTTTTTTTGGGTTTTGGGGGGTTTTTTGGGTTTTTTTTTGGGGGGGTTGTTTGTTTGTTTGTTTGTTTTGGTTTTTTAAGTGAGAAAGAAAGAAGTCTCTGCAACCTGTGCTGCGGGAATAGGGGCGGAGGTAGGATAGCTGATTGCAGATCGGATTTGATATCGCCTAACATCCGTGATAGGGAACGGGGGAGGATGAAGAGAAGCCCGGCGCTGAAGCGCTGGGGAAGAGAAGCGCCGCTCCGCCATGCTCTGCATCCCTCCGTATCCCTCTCTCCCACAACTTCTCACAGTAAGAACACCCAGAAACCTTCCCCCGGGCTTTTCGTGTCAGATCCAGCAGAAGAGAGCCATGAAAGCCTTCCCTAGCACCCAGGCAGGAAAAGACAGTGATCCAAGGGGTCTCCCATGGCTCCGGCCCGGGGAGCGCACCGGGCTCCCACCCCGCGGCCCCGGGCGGCGGGGGCGGCGGCTCTCACCCTCCTGCCGCCCCGTCCCCTCGGCGAGGCGGCGGGACACAGGGTGGGGGCCTTTCCTTCTGGCCTTGTCTCGAAACGGGTTCTTTCACCCGGGGCGCCAGAAGCCAATCCACACACAGAGTCGAGGTACTTGATTTATCTCTGCAGTTGTGCGCAGAAAGGGGTTGCTGCAATTATTGTGTGTGTGTGTGTGTATATATATATAGTATTCTTCACCACAAGGCATAAGTGCAACACAGGCCCAATGCTTCGTAGTAAGCATGGAGGTGCCCGTTGATAAAAGAGTCAAAATTAGGCCATTTTAGTCACCGACCCTTAAAAACCTTTAAAACTGCCGAGAAGCAGTACAACTAATCCTTAACTCATTTTCAAAGTCCCCGTGTATGAGTTTGGAAAGAGACAAAGCGCGTATGGGCCCATTGGACAGAAGCATCTAAGTCATAACTTTGTTTTTTAGGGTGCTGCGTGGGTCTGCCTCCCAGCGACCCCGAGAGCTGGAGGGCATTGCCTTCGTCCTGTGCGCCCCAGCGGGGCTCAGCGTGCGGGTACTGCGGATCGCCGGCTCCAGGAGTCAGGTTACGCAGCAACAGGAGCCTCCTCCGCGCGTTTTGTTGATTTTAATATCTCTCTCCTTTTTTTTTTTTTTAAAAGGTTGAAATCATTAACCAGCCGGACCTCGGATACTGGAGGGCAGGCAAATAAAAAGAAGCTGTAGATCATTATTAAAAAAAAAAAAACCAACACACACACACAAAAACCAACAAAAAACCCAAAAACTACAACAACAACAAAACAAACCCAAAAAACAACACACACAAAAAACCCAACAACAACTCCCCCAACCCCCCCAAAACAACAACAAAAACAACAACAAAAAACCAAACCAAAACCAAAACAAACCGCAAAACCCACATGCTTGGACACCTATTGCATAAATGTCCATGTGGGCTCTCTGCTGCCTGATGCTTATTTGAGCGTCAAGGGTTGAAAGACACCGTGGAAATCACCCAAAAGCACGCGGCACAAGGTCACAAGTGACGGGGAGGCTGCTTACTGCAGTGGGGAATAACCTTCTGCCCCACTCCCCACCACTGGGCACGGCTTCAACCCAGGGGAGAGCCGAACCATCGGGCAGGAGCGGACAACGATCCTCGGAGCCTGGTCAGGGTGTCCTGTCCAGGGCCGGGGCAGCCGCGGGGCTCGGAGTCTGCTATCTGCGTCCAGCAAAAAAGGCTGGAGCTCAAACCCGACTTGTGAGCACCTGGCAGCCCTTCGCTAGGAGTTTCGGAGAAAGTAAAAAGAATCCCTCCTCACCCTTGAGAATTTGGGTGTCCCCCTTCCCCACGGGGCACATCTGATCTATTGCAAAGGGCACGTTCGCTATGCCCGCCCCCGTCCTTGCTGCGCTGTGTACAGTACACTGCTGCTTTGGAGGTCAATTTGATTAACCACTACCCTGAGCTCCATAGGGCTGTCCCGCCCGACCCGAGGTGGAGGTGATGGGTGATGTCAAAGGCTCCTATCCCTCTGAAATGCCTCTTTCCCGGTGGATGCGGATTGCCCCGCCGGCTTCAGCCGCGGTGCCTGCGGCGGGAGCGTGAGCCCTGCTCGGAGCCGGCCGGCCGGCAGCTCCCCGCTGACCTGGGCGCGCCTGAGCGCTGCCGGTGCCCCGATCGATAAGTCCGCTTCAATGTCACAGCGGCTGCGGGATGGAAACACTCCATATCGTGGGGTGGCCTTGATAAAAGTATATTTTAAGTAGTGCGGATAAGCGAAGGGGAGAAGAGAGGCGGAGAGGTGCCGGCACGTCGCCCGTAATAACCGCTGCGCTTATCAGCCCGGCCTAAACTCCCCAGCAGTTTCTAAAGTACATTAAGTTACATAAACACGTCTCGGAAAAGAACACACTCCAACCTGCGATAGTCACCGAGGTGACCCCTCGTACCGCCTCACACCCGAACCCGCCGGCCCCCCGCGGCCGCAGCACCGCGGGAGCATCGCGGCCTGACACGGCGGGCGATGCCCGCTGCTCCCGGGGCGGCGGAGATGCGGCCGGACCGAACCTGCCCCTCCTCCCTAGTGCATCTCTGCAAAGGGATCACGTTTGCAGAGACCAAGGAGTGGGGGAAGGAGCAACTGCTCTGCACGTGCACATGTCTGTCCCCCAACCCTTTTTTGGGAGGCTGAAGTGCCCACGAGGGAATTTGCCTTAATTGGATACGAAACTCTCTTTTTTTCCCCAATCTGCCTTCTTCCCTCTTTGGTCACAGCGATCAGGAGCGACGGTTACCTTGCTGGCACCACCTCCCCAGCGGTGTCTTCCCACAGCGAGCATCCCCCCGGCCCCAAAAATGCTCCCACACGTGCACCCCCGGGTGCCTAACCCAGGCCCGGGGCAGGAGATACCTGAGAGCCTCCCGGAGCTCCGGGGCGAAAGTTACGTCAGAAGAGTGGGATTTGGGAAAGGAGTGACGTAATGAAAAGTTAGGAACCGAAGACTATATTTGAGCGGTTCGAGAGCAAACCCGAAACGAAAAGGAGAGGAAAGGGGTGACTGAAAACGGTTTCCCACGCTGGTCCCAGTTTAAGCCGGGTTTTCTTATCGTATCTGTCGGAGGAAATAAAATGAAACTTGTAGCCCGGCTATAAGGTAAACAGGCTAATCGGCAGTAAAAAAAAGGAAAAAGAAAAAAAAGAAAAAAACCCAAGGCGCCTGAAGTGTAAAACACGGGTCACTTTGGAGTCAGGGAAAGAGGCGCCCGCCTGGCCAGCGCGGCCGTTCTTCTTCACAGCCACCATCAACTTTCGGGCAGATACCCCCCGGCCCGGGCAGGTTCCCACTCCCCACTCTGGGGTTACACGGGCACCGGCATGTGCCGCTGGCTTGAAAAAAACCCTCACGGTATTTCTCGCATTATATGCACCCTTACACGTGTTTGAAATACTCTCGGGTTTAAATGGAAAAGAGGTATCCAAATGACTGAAAGGAAATGCAGGGTTTAAAGCCGATAGCTCGGCGCTTTTCAACACACAAATTTGCAGTGGCAGCACCCAAGCTGGGGAGAAGTGGCGTGGGCATCTATTCCCGCGTCTTCTCCTGCTCTTGTCGCACATTTGCAGGTAAAAACCATGGGAAAATATTTTACGTTGCAAGTTGGGATCGGAAAACGAGCCGGGCTCTGGCAGACAACGAATCCCTGCCCATGATTGCAAAAGCTTATTTTCTATTTAATATTGAACCCACTAAAATACACCTAAAATAAAAAGAAATCACTTCAACATGACAGGGTGATCGATATTATTTAAGGATATTATTTAGAGACAACTGACAAGAAAGAAGTATAACCTTTAATCGTACAATTTAATAGAGAAACGGTTTATCGAGAAATTGATTGTTTTCCGACCAAACGTCTGCCGTGCTATACGACAAAAATTAACGCGCATAATAAAACTTCCAAATCACAATCGGTTCACCCACACCGGAAGACCGGATGGCTACAGCCAGAGTTTTGCCGTACCCCCAGCACTGCAAATTCTTCACCTCCCGTTCACCTTGCCTGGAAAGACCGAAAGAAAAGCCGTGCCTACCCCAGGAACGGCAGCACCGCGCATCAGCAGGTTTGGGCTCGGTTTCTGTCGGGAGGGCTCATGCCTGCCGGCTGCCGAGAGCCGGGCTCTGCTCTAGTTCAGCCTTTAGCCGCCGATGACTCTCTGTACAAACTGATGATGACAGATATCCAACTGATAACCTCTGGTGAACGAAGTTATTTTAATTTCCAGTCACTTTCCTGCTAAGTACCATATCAGTTTGTACACAGCTGAGATAAGAGGGCCGGGGGGGGGATAAGAAAGAAACGGAGGGAAAATGCCTACCGCCAGCTGCTGGGATGGACACATCCCACAGCTTGCTTTGGCTTCACCTGACGGTTAGGGCAACTCAAGGAGGAGCCGCATTTTTTACCCTCGGATAGCTCTTATTTTAAGGAGGAAAAATAGGGAGATTTGGAGGAGGGAAACCTGGTTGCTTAGGGCGGGAGCCAAGCACACATCCTTCCGGGCCGCTGCCAGGGGATGCTCGCTGAGATGCCGGGAGGTGTGAAGAAAAAAAAAACCAAAACGCTGAATATTCACCATAAAGAAGATATTATCCGGGGAGGAGGGAAGAGTGTGTATTATTTCTGGGTAAAAAAAAAAAAAAAAGGAAGTGTCATGGTTTGAAACCATGACAGGAAGATAAAAGACTGTGGCATCTGAGAGGGCAGTCCCCTCTCTGCTCCTTCCCGCTCCCCAAGGAAGGGTCCGTAGCCCTGTAGCTGCGGGCACCCCACCCCCGGGACTGCGCCGCGGCGGGCCGGCTGGCCGCCGGGACTGGCACCCCTGCGGAGTCCCGTGTTTGTTTAGGGCTGGCCGAGCCCAATCAGGGCCGGCTGCCTGCAGTTTTCCGGCAGGGCTGCGAGAGGCGCCTCCTCTCTCCTTTTTATACATGAACCGGCGGCCGCCGCCGCCGGACTCGCCGCCGCCGCTCACGCCCGCCGCACTGGATTTACCGCCCGCCGCGGCCTCGCGCCCCGGCCTCATGCGGGGCATCGGCACCAGGTTTGGCCCCCTTCTCTTTTCTTGCCTCGCCGCGATTTCCCTTGTTTTTCCTCGCTCTTCTGCTCCTGCCTCTCCGTCCTCGGCCGCTCTGAGGGCAGCGCGGCGCAGCGGCGGCTGCGCCTTGCTGGGGGAGCCCGAGGGAGACTCTGTGGGCAAATATCCGATGCCGGTGCCTGGAGCCCTTATCTGCCGGAGCCTTATCTCCCAGTTACCTCGCAGGAGGGAGAGACGTATTTGGTGCCTGTCTGCGAGGGGGCTCTGTGTGTGTCCTGTATTCTTGTGCCTATGGCTATCTGAAGAGCCCCGAGGTGGGCTGAGAGCGGAGAGCCTCACCGCCCGCTTCTCTTGCTGTCACTTCTCCGCGTCCCCTTTCACTTTCTGCCCCTTCTCCCTGAGGCTGGGCACCGGACGCTCTGTGTCCGTCTGTCTGTTCAGCCTCTCTCATGCCGGCGGCTCCGAACTGAGACCGGTCGACTCGGGACGGGTGTCAGCCCCGAGAGTTGTGCTCGGACTGGAGGCAGGCCCTCAGCCAGGACTGTCCGCTGGCACCAGCCTCCGCGGCAGGCACATGCCACCCGGCCCGGCCCCTGCCCCGGTCCGTGTCCCGTCGCCGCCGCGCACACTTCGGCGCCTGGCCGTGCGCATCTCCCGTCTCAGGGGTGCCTTTCCCTCCTCCTTCTCCTCCTTTCCGTGACCTTGGGCTGGAAATAAGCAAACAAGCGAGGCGATGCGCGGAAAAGCTAACATTGCTCTCCGGAGAAGTAACCTTAAAGGGATCGCCTTACTAATTGTTTTCTCGGTGGAACCGAGTCAAATGACTCATTCATTGAAATAATCATAACAACGACAGCAGCCAAGGAAGGGGCTGCGGCACAGACAGGGAAAAATGTCCCTCGCCCCCCTCTCTCCCCACGCCCTCCCGCCCACCTCTCCCCGGCGTGCTTCATGTTCAAATCCGCAGCCCGGGATGCGAAAGGAGAAGGGAGCAGCCCGCCCGCAGCGCGGGGAGCGGCGTCGAAGCCGCAGCCCTGGCCCTGCGGGACTGGCGACTCCCGGCCCGTGTTGATCTGGTCTGCCTGATCCCATACCTCCGGGGGGAGGGACAACAGCGCCGAGGCGACATGACTGATTAAGCGTTCAGAGGGTCCAGATAAGCCCTGATGAATCTCATTACGGGAGGGAGACGTGCTGTCCTGTTTGCAAACTTTGTTATTATTGTTTCTCTCTCCCCCCCTTCCCTGCTATTCTGTGTCCTCCTTCCCCGCCCTGCCCTGCGGACCCCCATCTCCACTCCTCCTCCTCCCCTCCTCCCCCTTCCCCATCCACACCCAGCGGCTAGAAGGGGACCTGGATGGCCGTGGCTGAAGGCGGCTGGTGCGCGGTGAAGCGGTGCGCTGCGGACACCGGTGTTCCCTCCTGCCCCTTCGCCACCAGGGAGCCGCGCCCGTCTCCTCCTTCGCCCCCCTCCTCCTCGTCTTCCTCCGGCTCCCAGGGTGAACGCGGCTCTTCCAAGACTCCTCGGCCGGAGACCGACGACAGTCACCGGCCGGCCCCGCCGCCGCCCCCCGCCGCCGAAGGCAGGTCTCTGCTCGCCCCCTACGTGCACTTCGGGGCCCCCCACCCCTCCGGCCGGCTCAGCTGGGAGGACATTCTGCTCTTCGCGGACTTAGACCAAACCAACAAGCTGATCTGGTCCAGCCGCGGCCCCAAGCTGAGCGCCCTCGGCGCCGAGCAACCCGAGGAGATGTACCAGACCCTCGCCATCTCGGCCGCCCAGGGCCCCACGCCTTACGACGGATCTCCGGGAGGCTTCATGCACTCCACGCCCAGCTCGCCCGTGTACGTGCCCACGACCCGCGTGGGCTCCATGCTGCCCACGCTGCCGTACCTGCAAGGCAGCGGGGCGGCCCAGCCCAGCCACCCGGGCGGCGGCCACGCCGTCTGGTCCCAGCCAGCCGCGGAAAGCCCCTCGTACAGCACCGGCGGCGGCTCCCACCCCTCGGGCCGCTTCCCCTATTCGCCCAGCCCGCCGGTGGCCAACGGGGCCTCCCGGGAGCCCGGTGCCTACAGCAACAGCCTGGGCGCCAGGGACCAGTACAGCCCCCTGGCCCGGCCGCTCAATGGCTCCTACCCGGGGCCCTACACGTCCTACGTGGGGCCGCAGCTCACCCCCGCCTGGCCCACGGCGCCTTTCGAGAACTCCATGCTGCACTGCCTCCAGGGCCGGGCCGCCCCCATCCCCGTCCGGGCACCCAGCGCAGGTAGGACCCGTCGCCGGGGGCGCGGGCAAGGGCGGGGCGGGGTAGGGTAGGGCAGGGAGGGTCGCTGCATGCCGGGGCTGCCCGCTGGAGGGGCCACGGGGGTGCCGGAATGCGCGGGGTTCGCTGGCAAGGTGGGACGGCGTGGGGTGGCCCTGGTGCCTGTGGCAGGATGGCAATCCCGACACCATGGCTTTTTGGAGTGAAGGTAGCTCTCGTCGTTTGTGTTGTATTAGGAGGGAACACAGCCCCCCAAAGCGGCGTTGTTTGGACTACGGCGATCGGGGTTACAAACCCAGAGATCCCAAAAGGAATTGCCCGGTTTAAACCTAGTTTTTAATTTTTCCAAACCCTTACGTTCCTCCTTTTCCTATGTGTGGTTTTCTGGCCGAGAAATGGTGACAAATTCACTGCAAATTGGTTTTTCTTGTAGCGTAAACGAAAATTGCTAGGGCTCCCTTAACCCATTTTGGATTTTTTCAACTACAAAACACTGCTTCGTTAGAAGAGAAAAGCAACAAAGCAAAACCTCGGATATGAACTAGGAAATTTCATTTATAAACTGCTGTTAAAATACAGCACCTCCTGATGGGGTTTTGCTTTCGTTTCCGAGGTGTCCCGTTCTTATTTTTTGTTTTAGTGTGGGAAGTTCTTGGAGTCACTAAATTAATTGTAGAAGTGGAGGCTGAGCTGCAATGATTTAGTCAGAGGTAGAAAGATTAACGATTATTGCAGTTTCTTTATCTTTAGAATATATGTATGTATATATAAATAAAGGTGTATAGAGAGGTGTGTGTGGGTATGTATACATATTTTTACATATTATGCATATATATTATGTATATGTTTTTATATATACGTGTGTATGCATACACACGCGCATACACAGATTTGATCAACACTCGCTTTAGTCGTAAACTACCCACCAGGTGGGTATATTTTATAGACATCGTGATTTTCTTTCAGTGCAGTGTTGAGGATAATGACCCCATGGCTTTTTATCTTTCTTTAGGGGTATACGTAATACTCGTCCCTTCTCTCGATGGTACCCGGTAGATTTAAGCATTTTAAGCTTCCCACTTGGTGTTTAATAATATAACAGAGAGAAGTAGTGGTGCTAAGAAAAGCCGGGTCTCAGGGTGACACGGAAGTTGAGTTTTTAACTCAGTTTCCAAAAGTTATAAAACTAGACGATGAAGGAAAAATAAATCTGTTGGGGTTTTCGTTGTTAGGTTTTTTGTTGTTGTTTCTTTTTTTCCGGGAGAGACATGGGGTTAGAATCTCGCGGAACTGAGAGAAGGATGAGTAAGAAGGAGCAGAGAAGGGAAGGAGGCGGGCGCTGGAGGAGGTTGGGGCAGGAGTGCCAAGCCAGCCGCGGAGGAGCACGCCAGCTTCCCCTGGTCCCGGGGGTCTCTCTCCTGCCCTTGTTCCCCAGTGCTGGGAACCAGTGGGGCAGGAGCTAGCCAATTTTTCGATGAGGGAAAGGACGGGTGTCAGTGGAGCCGCATCGCGGTGTAACGCGGAGCAAAGCAGTCCGCAGTTCCTGGGCCACGCGAGTTTTCTGGTACTACAGTGCAAAACGCGCCAGCAAAGCCGAAGCCACGCATGTTCCCTTTTCAAAATTGTAGGAAAATTGTCAGGGAAATTGTAGAGGAAATATATTTTTTACGGTTAACTATTAGACAGTTTGACAAAGCTTGTTTAATGTTACTCGTAGAGATATTAAAACAGTATCTAACATTAAAACTTTATTTTCTTTTCTTTGAAGATAAACTCTTACGCGGTAAGAGAAAAATTTTTTTTTAAATGCCCGAGAATTATTGTCACGGCAGAATTTGTTTCTGGAGGCACGAAGGCAATGTTATAAAGTAAATAGCTGAGACAAATAACTGTTTAACTTCAGCGTCCTTGAAGCCTTAAGCATTTTCCTGATTAGTCTTCTATGGCGCTTTTAGTGCAAAGATTTATTAATCTTAGCGATGTGCTAAGAGCTACACGCTGACAATGTCAGTTGAACTGTGCTCTCTGGACTGTGCCGTGTGCCCGTTCCTCTTTAGCGCCTAATAATTTGCAAACGAAGGGAGGAGAGAAAAGTATTTGGGTGGGTGCGGGCCAAAAGGCCGTTTCTTTCCCAGCTGAATGCCCGCCGTGGCACCTCAGCCCTGTGTCCAAAGCTGCTCGAGGTTTATAAGCTCTTTTTCGCTATACAGCGAAACGTAAAAGAGTAACCCAATGATGAATTAAAGCAGGTAGCGGAGGGAGAAAAAAAAAGAAAAAACAATCAGTGATGAAGCTCTTGAGTCTGAAACAGACATTCCCAGCTTCGACTCGAAAGCTGCTGTAGAAATCCAAACATCTCCTTTTTTATTTCTGCACAACGTGGCACCGTCTATGTAAAAACCGTGTTTATTCCTCCCTCCCCTCCCTGAAATATGGGGAGTTGAATCAGAACAGGGATTCGCAGGGGTGAAGGTGTCAGCTTTTATAGGTGGATTCTCTTTTTTTTTTTTTTTTTCCCCGTGCATTTAGACCTTATTTTCCTCTCAGTGTTCAGTAACTATGAAAGCAGGAGGCAGAATACCGCGTATTTTTCCATTTCCTCCGTTTCCTACCAACTAGCTCGAATTTGACCAAATAGCCGAGGCAAAGTGGTCGCTGCCCGTCGCTGCCTTGGCACACCAGAGCCTCAAACTCTGCCTCTAAACTTAAAGCTTTACTAGTTGCGAGGCATTTAAAATAAGAGTCGGGGTAAAAAAGTTCTTGCCCAGCTTCGACCATGGGGAATATTGGGCAAAACGACCACTCCTTATATCTGGCTCCCAGGGTGGCTCTGCGAGTGGCTATTCTGGCAGGCATCTAACTCCCCTCTCTGTTCCCCTCAAAAGCCAAGCGCACCTCCCTTTCCACCCGGTGGGCACCACGGCGGGGGTTTCGCCCCTCGAGCGGACCCCGGCCGGCTTTTCCAAGGGCCACATCCCGACGTGAGTGCAAGGCGGGCCTGGAGTGACCGCTCCGGCGGGCCGGTGTCCCCCAGCCCGTCCCGGAGCGCACCGATTCCGCTGGGGTTTGGAAAGCAAAAGCTGCGCCGGGGTCGGTACATTTAAATAAATAGAAGGAAAAAAAAAAAAAAAAGAAAAAAGGGGAAAAGGGGATGGATTTTGTAAAAAATCACCTCATATTCGCCGTCGCTGCCGGGGAATTGCTTTTCCGAGGGCTGAACAGCGCCGGTTGCTTGCTCGCACGGGGCCAGACCTTCGGCGCGGCGGGGCCGGGGCCGCGCTACGCGGGGCTCCTCTGGGCTCCGCGCCCGCCTGCGGCCGTGCCCCACCGCCTCTCCCTTCTGCCTCCCAGAGCTGCTGGAGGACCTGTCCGAGAGCCGGGAGTGCGTCAACTGCGGCTCCATCCAGACCCCGCTGTGGAGGAGAGATGGCACCGGCAACTACCTGTGCAACGCCTGCGGGCTCTACACCAAAATGAACGGCCTCAGCCGACCCCTCATCAAGCCCCAAAAGAGAGTGGTGAGTGGGGAGGGAGGGGAGGAGGTGGGCGAGAGGAGCTGGGCCCCAAGGAGCCCCCAGTGAGCGCTAGCCAGGGAGAAACGGGGGGCAAGGATGTGGGAGAGCAATCAGAGTGTATTAGCCTGGTGGTCTGCCCAGCTTCAAAACCGAGTGGGGCTCCTGACCAGTTTTGCAGGCCAAAGTGGTCACGATGAGGAGCAAAAGGGCTGGCAGCCCTCTGGGAACTGCTTCAGACCCACCTTCAGGCCTTGCACTGGCGAAATCGCCCTCTGCGTCCCCAGTGAGCTGCACACGGGGCATGGGCCAGTCTGGCTTTTTGAGCTATGAACCCCATCAGTGAGGGGGGCTTCAGTGACTTGGAAGAAATTTGTGCTGGTGATGTTGGGCATTTCCAAAAGAAAAAAAAAATCAAGGTTGGAAAGTGTTTGTTCAGAGGGCTAGGAATTTCTCCAGACCTGCTTTGTTTGCTGACAGCTCGATCCTTGGGAATGTAAGCAAGTTTTGTATATAATTCAAAGAAAACCAATTGTTTAAACAATGATAATAGCCTTTGTTTTGTTTTACTCCAAAGAAATGAGCGACAATTTTTCTAAAAATATACTCATAAAACTAGGGGGGGAAATAAATAGTACAAACCAGAACCCCTGTTTATAACTCAGGCTGGCACTGAATAGGCAAGGAGAAAATTTAACAAGCGGGAACTGCACATTATGTTTAGCAAATCTGGGTGGAGGTCAGCAGTGAGAAAGAATATGCTCTTCAGTAATGGCTGTTACCGAGCGAGCCACAATAAATCACGCCGGTATAATCCAAGCTGATGTTTGGACCCCTGTGTATGGAGACAGTGTATCAAACCCGTCAGCTTTTCAAGCGCCTTTCAGTCACGCCAGCTGCTTCGCTCCGTGACTATATTCCTTGTGTTACTACATCTACCGCTCTTTATTTCACAACCGTTTGAATTTAGGGTCCTTACCCCGGAGCGAGGGGAAACAAAACGAACGATGATCCGAGCAGACAGTAAGCGCTCGAGAATCAAACCGCCCCTGCTTAAAGGCCTTTTTTTAAGCCAAAGAGTTAATTTAACTTTAAGCCAGACGTTAATTACTGCTAGGTGCCCGTTTTTTCTATCTGGTCGTTCAGTAAATTTCGTGACACAAGGTGTTATCACGGGCAACAAAGGCAGCAGCGGAGGGAACAGATCTGCTAATTGTCTCACGCATCAGAGCCCCACTGTCTGTGGCATCCTGGCCCAAGGCAGATTTCAAGTAGCTGATACTCGGCTCTAGCATTTCTCTATTTCTTCTTCTTCTTTTTTTTTTTTTTGGAGGAGGAGGGAGGGGTGGGGGTGAGGAGACTAAAGCAGAGTCAGACTACAACCTGATTTCAGCCTGACACCTCAGCGAAATAACTCTGAAATAGCTCCGCGTAACAATCCCTACCGAGTACCCTGCCCATAACTATAAATCAACCGTGGAAATATGTAGGTGAGAAGAGAAAATGTTTTGAAAACGCTAAATATGTTTAGATTGCCCCGAAGTTTCTGATAAAATTCCTGCAGCAGAAAAGTCGTTTTAGCTTCAAAACATGCCAAAATTCCCCTGTTTGTTTAGATACGGGAATAAGCTAAAGCTATTGAAATAAAATATATGAAGATTTATACCAGGCTGCATAGGAAAGAGAAGGATTTAACAGAGTGAAACATCTGACAGCATTTCACTAGCAAAGAAAGAAAATGAAGCATATGTGTTTAAGACCAGTTTTCTTTCACTCGATGCACATAAAACTCATATTGAATCAAGGGTGTGATTTGAACACTGTGTGCATACGTATTTAATAGCGAGGTCAAAAATTTCGTGAGACTTGGATTTTTAAGATTAAAAACTATATGTGTGTACTTCAGCCTATATTACACTTGGCTGGGTGGTTTGGTTTGTTTTCAGTGCAATTAATAATGGATTACTGATTCAAGATTACAAAATTTGTATTTAATCTGGAGCTCTTTTGGAGCTGCAGTGTAAAATGATGGCTTACTGCTAGAGACACTCAAACAGATAAAATTAAAGAAACTCAGTTATTGCTCTGGAATATTCTTCGTTCTCAAAACATTTTTATCAGTTTCCCAAGTGGCAGGCAGATCTGCGGTATCAAAGGTGACCCAGTTACATCTAACAACCCAGCAGTAAATGATTCAAGAGGAAGGGCATTGTACCCTTAAGTTAGTAATTTCAGTTATAGGTGCTTTATAGTCAGAATAAGATTAATGCAATCCTCTAAAACTGACTTCTCCATGTAAACTTGTTCAGCTGCCAGACACAGAGCTAGGCACAGATTTTTTTATATTTTTTTTGACAATGCGATACTTTGAAAAAGACTAGATTTATGATGTAGCTGGAATTCTTTGCTTGTGATGAACGTAAAAGAGATCACTTGTTACAGAAACTTTTATAACCCATTCACCTTCATTTCACATGTTTATGAGGACTGCCTTCGCTTATGATATATAGCCTGCGGCCATAAAGCTCTAGGTTATATGGTTATTTCTGATACAAGATTGCTTCATCTTGGCTCCAAACTCCACGGAAGAGTGTCATAAATGGCTTGTTTGCCATGGGGACCTTGTTGTCACCCTCCAGTTTTTCTGCTGGTTGAGGGGAAGCTCAGCTCGGTAAAACACGCTCCCAAGGCACATTGCTTTTTGTGTGAGGATAAAATGGGTGATGATAAAAAGATCTTTTTACAGAGATAATGCTGTTGTACGTGTTACCCCTCGGATGCCCAGGAAAGTTTTTCTCAGCTACAGTGCCACTGAAGGCAGGTGATTAAAGTGACTGATTTTTTCCAATGAGTTGGGAGTATCAGTGGCAGGATCAGAGCTGACTCTTCACCCACCACACAGGGGAGAGTGCCCTGAACTGACTGGAGAGGCGGCACAGGAGTGATGTGCCTTCTCGTCAGCTGGATGGAGCTATAGTGAAGATGTTTCCTTGCTGTCCTGCTGGAAGAAGAACTAATGCCTGGAGGTCTGAACACAGGTCTCTGGGTCAGCAGCTCCCAAATATGAATTGTGCCTCTGCCGTGACTGCCTGGGGTTGCAAACTCTCAGTATTTCTTCACATCAGCTTTCCACTCTCTGAAATGAGGATAATTCTGTCCTAATTCTGGGATGTTGCTGATAGATATGACAAAAAAATCTCATACTATCCCCACCATGTGTTAAAGTACTTCTTATAAACCATAAAGACATAAACCATGCGCTCCCGCCTGCCTGTTCATGCACGTTTGCCTGTGCTTACCTCCAGCCTTCGTCGCGGCGGCTGGGCTTGTCCTGTGCCAACTGCCACACCACGACCACCACCCTGTGGCGCAGGAATGCGGAGGGTGAGCCCGTCTGCAACGCCTGCGGCCTCTACATGAAGCTCCATGGGGTAAGTGGCTGCTTTGCTGAGGGAGATTTCCTGCCAGCTCTGGTGCTCCTTTGGGGAAGGGGGGGGTCCTCCTGCTGGCAGGTACCTGGGGTCTTTGGGGGCTGGCACTAAGCATCCTCAAGTCAGAGAGATGTTTCTGTTGATCCTAATGGTCTTGACTCGTGGCTTGGGCCATAGAGCTAAAAAACGGTGCATAAAACAACTGAAAATTGTGTGACATTAGAAAATACTTATACCACTTTAGCATGCTGTGCTTTTGACAAGTTACGTGTTTGGCAGTATAGTCTCTCAACAGATTTTTATAAAGTAACGACCTCTGGATGAACAGCAGAGGTCTTTTTGCCACTGGGATTTAAAACAGCTCTTCAGTGGGCAGAAAAACCCTAGACCTTTAATAAGACAGTTTTTCATAGCCATACCAACAAAACTTCAAATGTAATTCAAGTGATGGCTATGCCAGCAAAACTTTAAATGCAATTTCAGCCTTTGCTAGGCAATAAAAGATGAAGAAAAAAGCTCTATCCTGAATGTGATGGAGTACGTTTTAGGTGATACCCCTGTGGATTGCGTTATGGTCAAGCAAAAAGTGTTTGAAGAGCAAGGGCGTTAGGAGTGATTGAGACATGGTCTAGGCCTCAAGAAAAAAGTAAATTATGTCACTGGTTTAAACATTATAATGATAGTAAGCATGCACCTGAATTGTCTTTCCCCACACTGGTGTTGTCATTAAGTTAAAATATATTTTAAATCGATTTTTTCTGTATAATGATTATCATTGTGATCACACAGAACAAAACAGTTATTTTTGAGCACATATAAATTTATCAGTATAAATATAAATTTGGAAAATATAAATCTGTATTAGGGGCAGAACTGCTTATAAGAAAAATTACTAAATTGATGATGGCCTAAAGGTTCCATCCTAAGACATTTACTGGTGATGATCTGGTTTGTGCAGCTGGTCCACAGGACGAGGAGTATTTTTTCTTCTCATATGCATTCTTCCTTTCCAGAATCAGGCACTGGAGATAATTCCTAACTGACTGAAATAAACAGTCAAGGATCAGATATACCCCATCCAGTTTAATTTCTTATGACCTATTCCCGAATGATGCTGATTTTCCCTAAATGTATGCTGGTTTTCTGTCTAGCTTACATCAAGAAGTTTCCCTACTTTTTTTATTCATCTAAAACTTCCCTTGAATCAAACCATTGCTTTGCCCAAATAAAATGCAAACTTTTTATAAAATCTGTACTGTGGCATAGGAAAAAGTGAGTTGCTATAGAGGCATTTTCAAAGACCACACTTGATCTTGTAGTGTATTTTGATTTTTTATAGTAGGGTACATATACAACTCTATGATTGGTGTGGAAATTTAATTTTTTCAGGTTCCCCGACCTCTTGCTATGAAAAAAGAAGGAATTCAGACGAGGAAGCGAAAACCTAAGAACATAAATAAATCAAAGGCATGCTCTGGTAAATATAAAAAGATAAGAAAGTGTAATAGCAGTAGTTTATAGTTGTTTCAGGTTTTTTGGTTTATTTTCAGGAGTTTTGTTTCTTCTCTGGCTGGAAAATATTTCTTTTTAATACCAGTTCTCAATCTTTCAGGGAACAGTACTGCTGCAGTTCCTATGACTCCAACATCCACATCTTCTACTAACTCAGATGACTGTAGCAAAACTGCTTCTCCCAGCGCACAGACTGCAGCCTCCGGGGTAAGTGTCTGTATCTGTAAGCAGGCTGATCACTGTGCAGTGTTATCACAGCTTTTATCTTATCTAACAGAACAATAATCTAAATAAACTTTCCAGTTTTGTTAGCTGATACTGGAACAAGATTTTCAGAGGATATCACATATAGCTGTAAACAGAGCGACAAGCTGAAGTACTTTACAAACCTCTTCATTAAGATCTATATAATTGTTATGATTAAGTTAGCCACAGCTTAACCCTAGACATTTTGTTTCGAGATGTTTAGGTTCTTTAATTTCAAAGGTTTTCTTTAGGAGGGAAGACAATAACTCATGCCCAGCCGATCCTTTCAAGAAACAATTGTGCATGTACCCCTTTTTTTCTGATATGATTTGATAAGAATTTATAGTTCCAGGCACTGCTGCTGATGTCATGTTTTTCAAAAGCTATTTCATATATATATATGCATTTTTACTCATTATCCCGAATACCTGGTAAACCCCAGCAAAATGTTGTCCTGCTGTATGAAGTGAATCATAAAAGCTTTTTTGTAAAACTAAAATGTGCGATTAAATCTCGATCCAGACCCAGTTGAAATCAGGCTGTAGTGTCCTGCTGATTGCAGTGCACAGCGGTTCAGCCCTCTCCCCACAGACAGCTCCTCAGGGGTCAGATGCTCAGCATCTGGCAGCACCGAGTTCCAGAGTGGCACCAGAGGACTGCTGATCATCCCCTGCTTTAGTTTTTATTTTATGTCTTGTACTCCAACCATCTCAAACTTCCTTTCTTACTCAGTTAGCATGTGGGATAAATACTACTGCTAAAGTTGTGGAGCTTCATGTAGATTATTTTCTAACCCCTTGGCTAGACTTACCTGTATCCACACTCACTTCTCGGCCTTCTGTATCCCTTAATCTGCCACACAATTTCTTTGAAAAGCTTTCCTAATGTGGCTTTCTGTAGCTCTTTATTAATAAAATGAAGACATAGTTTATGATAACTATTTTTCAATGTCTTGGCGTTCCCCACATCCAAATTACTTTCAAAAGTTTAATTTCTGATGTGCAAAGTTTCATTGTACAAGGGGAAGAAAAAAAAACAATTTTTAGTAAATGTGATTGTTTGTGGACTGACAGGGCCACCCAATTTCAGGGGCATTGGGTTTGGGGTTTGGATCCTATGAGACTAGGATATTACTAAAAGGGCTTGTCTTTGACATGAGAAAACCCTGTCAATCCAATAAAATAAACAGATCACATCAAAGAAAGAGAAAGACCAACTGAAAAGTGAACTGTTTCAGTTTCAGAATGAGTTTCAGACTTCCCCAGTGAACTACTACGCACTATTTTAGGCTCTCCCCTAGTACTTGCAAAGGAAAAAATGTAGCCAAATTTTCCTTAAATTTTCCTTACATTACCTTAAGCAGTACTAGTGACCCTGAGCAATATGTTGAGATTTATATAATGGGTAGAAATGGAAGCACACTCCCAGCTGAGACCAAGGCAGCGGTGTAGGCTGTGGCAGCACAGCCATGTGTTACCTGGGGAAGGAGAGGCCATATAGATGAGATCCCATTTCCACTATGCTGTTGCCTTCTTGGCTGGCTAAAGCCTGACTTCCTTTCTGTAGTCCTTCTCCCTAGAAAAGTATATCAAACATGTTATTAATAATCTTTATGTTAGAATTGTAATAGTACCATTTTTAATATTATTCTACTGTGTGGAGTTTTGTGGGTATAAAACCTGCACAGCTTTATCCTCACCATGATTTGATCAGATGTGCCTTGCATATGCAAAGCATTTGCAAATACCCTCCCTGTCGTGGAAAATTTCAATGAAAGGAAGTAATGGAGAGAGGCTATGACACACTGAAGAGGGGAATTTGCAGCAGCAACCCAATATATGGGCATCCCCCCGACTCCCTCCCAAACTGTGTGAAGGGCTATTGATCTCCCACCCCTCTACCCCAGCCCTGTAACTATGTAAATGAAGACACCGTAACTATGTAAATGACGTCTTCATGTTCTTCACTTGAGCTCCTGGCTTTATCCAAGAATCTGTAATTCAAAGCACTGAGGACTGGGGAGACTGGAGGTTGAAATTAGAAGGAGGTGGCTGTTAAGACTGGATCCTGTTGCTCCAGATGTAATTTGACTGCAAAGGATGCAAAATAATTTCTTAGGGACCTAAATCCCATGAAAGGGACTGAGCACTCATAAAGCCCATTGAAGTTGTCATGAGTAAAGGGGTGTCAGCATTTTAGAGTGAGGCAGGCTGTAATCTGGTCACATGCTGAAGTAAAGATACTCTACTAGACTTCTGTTTTCCTTGCTTATTTTTATTTTTCCCTTTTGAGTTGATCCATTGATAGGTCAAAGGTTTGTAATTATTCCTAGAATAGGCAATGGCTTTGCACAAGGAGAATAAACTTCTCCAGGTTATGTCAGGAGGGAAGAAACCCTCAGATGGATGAATCCAGTCTGTAATCTTTGGTCACTTTAACAAGACCAGCATTGATTTCCAGTTACTGGTCCTGGTGACACAGCCGAAACACAGGCACCTGCTGGAAGAGCAAACCTGGCTCATTCCCCACGTTACACAACAGGCATGGCAACTTGTTTTTGTTTTGCTCTGTTTTCACTTCTCTAGCCTTTATTCTGTGAAGAGGGGAAAAATGCCAGATTGACATTAGGCAGAGAAATCTGATGACGTTTTAGAAACTGTTGTGTGAAATTCACAGCAATATTGTTGCTAAATGAAACAGAGAAAATGAATTCCTGTACTGGTACAAAAGCAATTTATTATGCCTTTTATGGGAGGCTGCCAAAAAAGTTTCCAGTTATGTAGAAATCTAATGGAAATGAAATTCAGCAGAATTCATTTGTGTCAGTAACATTCACTTTTTGCCCTACCTTTCTTTATCTCTGTTAAAGTAAAATAAAGAAGAGAGGGCAGAAAAAGAGAAGGGCAGCAATTACTCTTGGCAATGTCTTTGAGAATATCCATTTCATGGAGGGAATCTTACATGATGCCAATTTTGAGACAAATTAGCAAGAACCTTAAATGTTGATTTTACGTTCTAACTGAAGTTTAAACATTTAAAAGATATGATTAATGAATTTTTGTGAGGGCAAAGTTGATTTCAAACATCCAAAAGTATAGAAGTGTTTGGATCAGAGACATTTTGTTGTCCCATTGTAAAGGGACTGTTTGCCAAATTCACATCTGGATCTAGGATTTAAGCCCATTTCTGTTTTCCTAAGAAGTATAAGTACTGGGTGTCCTGTGTTACTAATATGGAAAGGGTCCAGCTGCATGATATATGAAGTTGCTTTACATCCCTGTAAAAAGAAGATTTGAAGGTTTTAGACAGTCTGCATCTGCATCTATACCTGGTCTCCCTTTGATGCTGCTGAAACTGTACAGAGAAAAGCTCCACCAAATAAGTTACTAAACAAAGGACACAGTCTGTAGTGCGAACCTGTCCATTTCCATGCAGGAGCTCCAACAACTGTGATAACCAGAAGGACTTTATTCCCTTATTAGGATAAAAGGCAGTATGAAACCTGCTGTAAAATCTGCTTTTTATGGCAGACATGGAGGCTCCTTGAGCCAGGCCTGATGTCAGGAAAGGCTCAGCAGCGTTGAGAAGTCTTTTCTGTGTCCTTTGCCTCCAGTTTGGAGCTTTCTCAGAAGGACCATAATCACACACCACAGAATATCACAGGAGGTAAAACAAGTGCTTACTTCCCTTGGAGGTTTACTCAACCTCCAAAACCAAAGAGGATTGGCTCTTTTGTTTTTTAGGGTGGGAAGTAAGAGAGCTGACTGAGATGGCCTTGGCAGGTGGTAAGCTAGGAGGAAAACGCAGGTTTAACTGTCCCCAAAATGCCAAACAGATGGAGCTGGATTATCTGGACAGCTTCTCCTGCATTTGCTTTCTTTTGTTTTCAGAAGAAGATTCGTGATCTGGTTAGAGATGGCATTGTTAGCTCCTGTTCAGCCAGCAAGTGGGTAGGACATTCATGCAGGGGAATCAGGCTCCATACAATATGTCCCAGAGTCTGGATGAACCAGAGACTCAATCTCTTAAAACAATGTACTAGTCACCTAGATATTGGAAAGTTGAATGTCTTCTTCACATTATCTGACGATAAGATTTCAGTTGTTATAGAATAATTTTGTAGCCATTGAGACAGTTGCCACGAGAAAGGCTCATCAGCATGGTTGGTAGGACTTTCATCTGGAAAATGGGAACACAGTGCATTAGTCCTGGTATGAATAAATATTTATCTAAACCAGGTGGAATAAGATCAAGAGGAGGTATGAGGAACATGGCAACCATACCAAATAGTGTGGTAGACAGGGCACTGTGGGAGATCTGACACTCTAATTTAAATCTTTCTTGATCTCCTACCTCTTCTGCATTAGTCCTCACTCCTGGACGAAATGGGAAGCTACTTTATTCCCCCCCAGTTTCATACATGGAGTCATTAATTTTCTTTGCTCTGTGTACTTGTATCCAAAAGAGAGCATTTCATTTTTGTATGAAACAGAAGGAAGCAATCCATCTTTTTTGTTTCAGTAGGGAAAACCAAGGAAAAAGTATTTTTGCTTCTACCCCAAAATTCTATATGCATATGGACACATACCTTTTGCTTGGTTTTGTTTTATTGCCAAAGCAATAAAGTCGGTTACTCATACAGCCCTTGACAGCAGTGGGGTCATCAGTTTTCCAAGCCATGCTGGAAGTTGCCTCCCTTAGGAAATTAATGAAGTATTAACCACAGATTTATGTTGCTATAATACAAAGGAGAGATTAGAAGATATGTAAACTTACACGTCTGCCGTATAAACAAAAGGATCAATTGGACTAATGAGAAATGACAATTTTGTGTACTAAGAGGGTCGTTATATGAGAAAAAAAAGCCGTCATTTTGCAGTGCTGAGACTTGTTCTTCAGAATCCGGGGAGTGACAGTATTGGGAAAATGTGCTCCTGATGAGGATGGCAGTTATTGTAGGGAGGCTGAGACTGGAAAATTAGGAACTCCACTGTTTGGCACAGCACCTTATATGCGAAAGCAGTCTTTGCAAATGTGTTTTGGTTGACTATGGATATCATTTAAGTGTAGCAAAACTAAACTAGGCTAACTGAGGAGAAAGAGAGTCTCAGCTGAGGCTCTGCTTATTACAGACTTAGCGTAATGTCCAAAATTCATGGAGCATTTTGAACCTGTGAAATGGATAGAGCAAAGGTCTATCTGGTAGCGCAAAGGTCTGGATCAAGGCCCTTCACCACCCCCTCCAGCTGTCCTTGCCCAGAGCATTTCCCTCTTGCCTGCGGAGGTGTGGGAGAAGGCCAGGGGGAAAAGAGTCCCTCTTCTCTCCCTACTTTCTGTGGTAGGCAGGTGGTGCAGAAAGGAGCGGATGGAAGAAAGCAGGACTCTTTCTGCCAGAGCTGCTGATGTTGACCAGCACAGGCTGAACAGCCTGGTTTTGATCTGGAGCAGCTTCATTAGGGATAAATTCGGCTCCAAGGTGCTGACAGCAGATTTGGGTACGATCTAGGTGTCTGAATCGCTCTGTGGCTCTAGTGGAAGTCTCCCTGTGCAGATGGTGGGCAGGTCCTCTGATCTGGACAACCTACCGGGGGAATGACTCCTGACCAGCTCCCGCTGGTTGGGTAAAAAGAACTTCTGTAGATACAAACACAACCTTCCAGTTTGTTTGAGAGGCAGTGTCTTCCCAATGGGCTTCATTCTTTTTTTCCTCAGGAAACTGACCGTCAATTGATTACCTATTCTATTACCAGATTTCAACAATGAAAATAAATGCATTACCTTTTTACTGATAGAGCCAGTTGTTGTGAATTAGATCTTGTTGACTTCAGCAGCATTGTTCAGTTTATTTATTCTAGGTGATAAATGTCTTCTAATAACTAAGTGCAACTTCTGTCATCTTCCATCCCTTAAAGCTGGAGAAGTAAAAGCAGAGGTAGGAAGGCTCAGAAACAGAGCCGCGATTCAGTCACGTCCCTTTTCATGAGCTAAAGTTTGTTTTTCGTGTCTCACTCTGGGAGCTGCCCAAGTTGCCTGGATTCGTCATGACATTACCGGGGTGGGGTTTCCAGGCCTGGCAGCCCTGCCCAGGTCCTGCCCATTCTGGCTCAACAGAGCCAGGATCCAGCCTTGGTTGGGCAGGGATGGGCAGTCTTCAAACAGGACGTGCCTTCAAGTCCTCCCTTCCGGGGTGCCTGAGGGAGGGGTACCTGATAATCCCACGTGGAAACTGTGGGTCCATGCATGCCACCTTTGTAGGGCTGAATCAGGAAAAGAGTGAATTACACTTTGCAAGCCTGGAAAAAAACAGGTACTGATAAGGTATTTGCCTACCGGAACAACAGTGGCAAATATGGGCAAACGAGAACCTTTCAAAGCAGATCTTAAGTATTTTTAGCTCAAGTTGAGCAAACACTGCTCAACACTAATTTAAATCCTTCCAAGGTGGGGAGACGACTCTGAAGCTGTTAAAAATTATGTATTTTGTGCTGATAGAAGTCAATTTGTTGTATTAGAAATAAAAAAAAAAGGCTTTGGAAAGCTAGGCTGATGCAAGACCAAAACCAGATGAAAAGGATGACATGGAACCTGCCTCATTGAATTCTCCATGCACAGTCACAGGGAAAGAGGATACAGAGATTCATCATCATTGGTTGGCAATTGTATATTTGAGAGAGCGATAAAACATATTTCTTAGAGCTATTTGGCTGGTTTTGGGGGACAGGCAGTTTTTCCTTCCTTCTCTGCGTTTCTGGGTAGTGAGTAATGGAGTGGGATCGGGGTTGATGACTGGGTGGAAGAGTAGTGGCTGTCAGTCATTTTAATGAAAGCTAAAGAAAATATTGCAGTCTGTGTTATTTCAGAAAAAAATGACTGCTAACAGTGAGAATCTCTTTCAGAAGGTGAGGTTTTCCTTGGGTTAAGCATGGCAAAAAGAACCCTGCACTGCACCATTTGGAAATTACCTTTGAATAAATGAAGCCTTGCTTTTCTTGTGTCAGGACTGCTAGCTTGGCACGGGTCCAGGAGAGCCAAGAGCTCTACTCTTGTAAAATGATTAAATATGTATACTTTTCACTTAAACAGCAGGCAGGAAGCTTCTGCAGTCACAGTTTAGGATAGCCTTTTTTTTTTTTTTTAAGGAATTTCATCCGAAGGCTATCCATTAACAAGTAAATTAAGGTTTTAAAGTTGACATATCCAAGGGTTAATTTTGCATGAAGTCAGCTCTTAAACATTTCCTTTATCAGGTGAAAATGTTGCCCCTTCTCTGTCTGGCACAGTGAATTTTTCCTCTTTAGTAGATCTGCTCAGACTCATGGAAAAAATGATTGTTCCTTTGTCTTTGTAACTCTCCATTTCTCTGTTAAAATAAATGGACTGGTTCCAGTGAAGTTCAGAGGTTCATCTTCGTGCCTACCAGGGCTCCCCTGCACGTTATCTTGTATAGGCAGCGGAACAAAAAGTCTCCTGCTTCAAAGGCATAGTGTTTCTCTGCCGGAGATTAAAGAGCATCTCCTTTAGTGTCCAGGGATGAAGTGGTCGTGGCTAGCATTTTGAAGGGTGAGGAATGATTTTAGGCATTTCAGGGTCTGAGGGACCCAAAGAAGGCTGATCTCCAGGAGATGTTCCATATCTACTGCTGGAGAATTGGGATGTATCAGGCTTCTCCAATTGTGGAAGAAAAACTACAGGTGCCACCACTCCCAGATCACATTTTTGGTGTTGTCACTTATGTCTCTTCAGTAGGGGGCAGCGGGACACACACACACGGGCTTCTTCACCATGGTCTGATTTCCAGGTTTTTGTGCGCATCACGTGCTTTCTTTTCCACCTCTCCAAACACAGATATCTCTCCCATCAGCAGGGTTCAGTGACTGGGCTGATGCTGAGACATGGGTTTTTTCAGGATTTGGAGGCACAGGGGCAAGCAGAGGGCAAACCCTGTTTTTCTGCAGAAATCCTGGGATAATGACTGTGCCCTGGGCCTGCTGTGCTCTCACTTGCACCCAGTGTGTGCAAAGCTCACCTGCTCAATGCCTCTCTCTTTGTTCTCTCCCTCCCTCTAGGCGAGCTCGTCAGTGATGTCTGGCCCAGGAGAGAGCACCAGTCCCGAAAGCAGCAACCTTAAGTATTCAGGACAAGATGGGCTATACACAGGAGTCAGCCTGACCTCCACGGCTGAAGTGACAGCATCTGTGAGGCAGGATCCCTGGTGTGCCCTGGCTCTGGCATGATCCCGATGTGAGGGAAGCTGGATCCTGGTGCTGCACGGCAGCTCCCAGATGTCCACACACAGTTTCTCCTGTGGAGCGGTTGCAGCAGAAGCAAGAGTGCTGGCAAAGACCATTCCTCTGAAATAGTTTTTGAGCCTTGGTGGCAGAGGTGTTTTTCAACCTCTGAAAGAGGCTCTGCCAAAGCATCCAGTTCCTCATCTATGCAAGAAAAATATAGGGAAAGCAAACGACCACCGGGGGATAGCTAATGCAGCCTTACAATCTCAAAAAAACCCTCAAACCCCCACAAAAAAAATTAAAAAAAAAGAAAAAAAGAAAAAAAAAGAAAAAGGAAAAAAAAACATATAGACCTAGACCTATTGACGGGTTCCAGAAATACATCTTCAACTTACCCAGCAGCGCTGCCTTTCTGATTGCATAGTTGTTTTCACTCTCTCATCGCCTTTTCCCCTAAGAATTTGGTGGAAGCCATCATTGTCGGGGAAGAAGTAACAAAGACTTTAATTACCAGAGATAGTGAGATACTTTTTAATGAGTGACAGAAGTGCGTGTGGCTTGAGTCGGCACAGACTTCTTGCACTGAACATTTGATATCTTCGCCCTGTCAGACCTCTTCCCTCCTTTGCCCTCCATCTTCAGTGTGCCTTGCTCTGCTCCTCAGAGCCCAGCTATGCCCCTGGAAGAAATCACAATGTTTGGTACAAGTCCCACAAGGTCCAGCTGGTTAAGGAGATTTTGGGGTTGGTTTTTTCCTGGTTTAAGATATTTACTCACTTTGCAAGACTACGATATAACTTTTAAAGTACACTGTGACTGAGATTTATGAAAAGTTCATATTTTCTGGCTGAACTGTATAGAGTCAGTCAAAATTTGTAAACAGGGTAGCAATCAGATATTTTTCTTCCATATATACAATAATTTTTTTAAAGAAGTGCAATTTGCGTTGCAGCAATCAGTGTTAAATCATTTGCATAAGATTTAACAACGGTTTTTATACGAATGAATGTAAACATTTTAACTTAATGGTACGTAAGTAATTTAAAAGAAAAACTTAACTAGGCATCCTTAGGCTTTTTAGCTCAACAAAAATGCATCCACTTTCTGTATTTCCAGTTGTTAAAGCAAGAGTTTCAAAGAACAAGCCTTCTCTCAGGAAAATTGCCCTAGCCATTTGCTCAAAAGTGTTGTACAAAAATGCAAATGCATCCCCAAGGCTTTTTTTGCCATTGAGTAACTGCGTGCTGGAAAGAAACAAATTGCAATGAACCTTTACTACCTAACATCAGTTAGGTAAATATTTGTAAATACTACAGGAGATATCTTGAAGGCATCTTGAAAATGTAGGATGCAATCTGTATAGTGTGACTGACATATAGTTAGGTTGGTTTCCATTGGTTTTTAAGTGGGATGTCATTTGGAAAGTTGTTTCATCAGAGCTTTAAAAATAAAAGGGTATCATTTTGAGATTTTTTTTCCTGTACAGTGTGCCTTCTCCTTTGTCTCAGACACAATTGTTAAGCTCCATTAAAAGCTATGGAAATGTACCTGATACAGGTGGCATGTCTGATGGCTCCCCAGAGGTCTCCAGCTGAAGTGCCTGCTCTGTCTATCTAAGTCTGCACTGTGTGTGGCTTTTCTGCAGCTTCCCTCAATATACCCTCTGATGATATGTAAAACTAGGGCCTTCACCTATGAATATAAGCTCGACATGGGCACATGTGAGATTTTTCTGACGTCTGGGGAACTGAGCCCATGCCCTGTGAGGACTATCATGGTTTCTCTTGGCCTTCACAGCGTAGCTAAAGGGTCTACCCAGTGATGAGTGGGCAAATACCAGAATGTCACCCACTGCAGACACAGCTGCTGAGTGGCAGAGCATTTGTGTGCCTGCTGGCATCCTCCGGTGACCAAAGGTGAAGGGCACCAAAAACTGATGGCACTGCTGCTGAAAAGAGAAGACAGTGAATTTTAGATACTGAGGGAAGTGGAAAACCTTTTGCTGGCTCTGAGAACTGGTCCTCTTTCTTCATTGCTCAGCTGACTGGAGCAAGACTTACTGCCATGTGTGACATTTCCAGCTATGTCACCAGTACTGCTGGACTTGGAAGCCAGGATGCCCAACCTCCATACCCAGTGACCTGCAGAGTGGCTGCAATGCATCTTTTTGCCTCTCTGTGCCAGATCTTTTTTTAGGTGAATTGTGATAGCTCCTTGGCCTGCAGTGAAGCTGTGCTGACTTGCACCAGCCAAGAATCTGCCCCTTGGTTTTCAAACCTCGCCATTGAGGCTGCCTCCTTACCCCGGGGGTATTGTGAGGACCGTGGAATGAATGATGCTGTACAGCCGCAGCAGGAAAACAGGAAAAAGGAGTCAGGCCAAGCCTTACCTAGGGTTTAAGTTGCTGTGGCCAGCCAGGAGTGGGGATCACTCACCCTTCCTAGCATGACCTTCGTGCCACACTTGGTACTGGGCTACCTCACATCCTTGCTGCCTGTGGGTTGATATGGCCAGGTACCCCAGCCCTGCTAGCCCTGGGGCCTTGGATTTTGTGATTTACAAAAATAAATACCTATCTAAGTGCAAGGTGAGCCATGCAGAGAAACACTGGGTTTAGAAAGCAACAGATGTGGAGAAGGGTGAATATCCTTTGTTTTGAAGCGTTTATTGACTAAAATGCCCTTACTTGTGATTTTCCAGTAAGCTGTTGCTAAGTGCAGAGTGTTCAGCCTTAGCTAGGGTCGGCATCATTTTTTATTTCCCTTTTTCTTGCCAGGGTGAAATTTGGTGTGCCAATTCTGAAGAGCCTAGCACATAACTCATACTTGCTGGGTATGTCGGAGCTGCGTTTCTTGGAGTTATCATAAAACAGAAGGTTTAGAGCAGCGTATTCCAGTTTTGTGCTGCTGTTTGCTGATGCTCTTGCTGGTAGCCTGTGGAAGGCCACATTGCTTTGAAACCCTGTGGCACAATTTAAGAGCACTCCTAGGAGGCCCTGCTCCCTTCTCAGTACCACCTTGACCCGGGGTCTATCTAAGGGTGGTTCCTACAGTCTTGCAGGGAACATATGAACCTTCCTCTTGGGTCTGACGATAAAAATGCTCTTTTAGGGGCAAAAGAACCATAGAAACCCCCCAATATTTCATAGGGAAGGTATTTCCAATTTTTTTTCCATCAACAAATCAAGAATGGAATACTTTGCCTCCTTGGACCAGAAGCAGTGCAATCAGGTTTTCAACCCTCTGTTAAGAGTAAAGGCAGATGCAGTACCATGTTGCCTTACTGTGTAGGTGCTGAGGAGCTCAAAGCCAGGTGCCTTGTTATGATTTTACATAGAAAAAGATCGTAAGAAGAGTACATCCCTACTTACCAAAACTCCTCTCCAAATGTACTGATTGCTGGAGCTGCTATTCCTAGATGAAATAAAAGTTTCTTTTTTTCTTTTTTTCCTTTTTTTTTTTTTTTGCATTTTTTTTTTTTTTTTCATTTTATTCTTGCTGAGCTGGCATAGCTCTCTGAGTGTGTGAGCTGGACTTTGCTGTGGCTCATACATCATCAGTATCACTGCTTTCCTCTCTTATCTCCATTTCTCTTCAGTGACAGCCCTGGGGTGGGCTGAGAAAGAACAAAGAAAGAGTTTGACTGTGAGTTTTGGTTACTAGTGAGGCTGAACAAGGCAGATTGACCCCAGAGCATCTCTTTAGTACTGTCATGAAGCTTCAGAATTGACATTTGTGGGGGAAAAGAAGGCATATGGCTACTTGTCACTTTAGTACCTTTTCTCTGAAAACAGTAAAAATTAAATAGCCAGTGTCCCAAAGCATCTGCTTCAGGGTCCCCCACCAAACAGTACTCAAAGGCTCAAATTTGCTTGGGTGGCCCCCCAAGATCAGACTGCTCCTGGCCACGTGTGTTACTCTGGCATCCAATATTCCCTAGGTCATAGATTCTGTTTTAGTAGTCTTACTGACACCCTCACTCATATTTTTTTTTCCCTGTTCAAATTGCTTGAAATAAGTTGAAATCCGTACTGTGGTTCAGAGTGGTATTTTTCAGCATGGCATTTAGGGTGTATACTGCTGTGGTTTGAGTGCTGTAGAGGTACCTGAGGGTGCAACAGCTGCTGGGTTTTGGTTGGTAAAGCAAAGAGAAGCAGCCTTGGATGCTGCCCAAAGGGAGTAATAGGTGCCTGTCTGTTTCTAGAACTGCAAGTGGACTTTGTTTCATATGAATGATCAGCGGGCAAGGACCTGTGTGTGAAGTAAGGAACCAAAGTAGCTGATTTGCTGTATAGAACTTGGGTAATATAGTATCTGTTCCTGCACAAAAATAATGTAACTTCTGCTTCTGTCTAAGAGAAGAAGAGATTTAAGAGTAACACCCTGCCCCTGCTACTGTGAGCCTTAGTTGAGCATAGGCTGCAGAAACCCAAAATGTTCAACTCTTCTGTGTGCTCACAGCTCCAGAACTTCCTTTATCCAGCTGTCATGAACTTCATTCCTCACAGATCCTCCAGTTCCTAAATCTGTATACACTGGACATTCCAGGGTTGTGTCAAACACACTGAATTCAGTATTAAAATATAGGGCAAGGGTTATTGCAGTGGGCCAGCGAGAAGGAAACTGAGGGCTTGAGGAGCAGTTTCATGTGCCTTCTGCTCCACATGTTGCAAAAGGCTTGAGATCTTCACTGTGTATTTGTAATGTGTTTTGGAAACACTTCTTAGTCTTTCCTTAAAGAGATCTGGTGGAAGTTGGTATCATATGTAGGAAAGGGGAGTAGAATTTCACAGAATCACAGAATCATTTAGATTGGCAAAGACTTTCAAGATCATCAAGTCCAACCTTTGACCTATAAATTTAGGTGCCTGGGTGGATACGCAGTCAAACAAGAGTTGTCAAAGCAATGTTGTAACCAAAAGCGCTAATGTACCCCTTGAACAAAGAATCAGGAAAACAGTGAGTTGGAGTAAGGAGGTAATTTTACTTTGGAATGTGCATCCAGACCTGGCATCCACATTTGAAGAGTGTTTAAAAATTGGCAAAGGTAGGGAAAAGAACCACTGAAATGATTGATGAACTGGGGGAAATATCTAGTCTTGATAAATTTAAAGACCACAGTGTGCTTAGAATACCTAAAAGAAGACTAAAATGTGACTGGTGTAGTAAGTCCCTTCATGGAGAGAAAATGATAGGTGCTAGGAGGCCTTTGACCTTGTAGAGAAAGACATGACAAGATCTAGTGGCCAGAAGGTGAAGCTGGATTAATTAAAACGATCATTTAGCTTCAGCTGAAACAGCAAACATAATTAGTGATGGGAGCAAGGGAGGAAGACGAGTGCTCAATCTCTTGTTGCCGTTGCAACAAAGCTGGCTGGAAGACCAGCTTTAGCTGACCAAAAGTGACTGGGTTCAGGACTGAGCGGGTTACATCTGCTGCATCATGATTTATAGGCTGTATTAGTTTCCATTTTGTCTGAAACCGTATAACTTTTTGGGATGAGACCCAATGCTGAGATCTTGAATTTTTGTTGTTATTAAAAAAACTATGGCACTCTTCCTGAGAGCAGTGGTAAACACTGTGGTGTTTTGACCCAGTTTCAGTGTAAGTAATTATTTTTTTGCTTACCTAAAACGTCCTACTTCCTCTCCAAAACTGTCCCACATCTTTATTGTTTCCTGTTAAATACAACCTGAGTTCTATAGAAGAAAAGGCCGTGTTTAAAGTTGAACAAACGAGACATGAAATTCTGTCCCGTCTTATGGCATAGCACGCAGACAGGGGCTGCTAAACAGCCCCTGCTCTTGGAGAAGCAGGAAGGAAACCTTTTCTGAAGACTGTGGTCTGCAGGTCTTCAGTCTGTGACCTTTCGCTGCTGTGAAGACCACAGCCTGAAGAAGGAACAGAGGCATGTGGGTCGTCTTACGAATGTAGCAATTTAAAAAAAAAACCAGCATGATGGGAGGTTTCTGTTAATGCACTGAACCCCACTTGGGATCCAAATTCTACTTGTTCCTCTAATGGGAATAAATAACACTTAAAATAATGCTGCTTTCTGTGCCTTGCTTGCAGAGGACCTGGTCTTGTGGCATGAGAGAGTGGGGATGAGCTTTATCTGTTTGGCTGGTCATTCATCTGATCCCTTTGCAGTAGAGAGGAGCCCCAAACCAGCCAGGAAGATCCTGGTGAGTGCTCCCACTCTGAAGGGGTTTTGCACAAGCTTGGCAGACATGCCTCCCAGGAGTGGCCTTGCTGACAGGAGAGGGTGTGCATGTTTGGCCAGGGGCCTGTAGAGGGGAGAGGGAAGGAGGCCTGATGGAGGGGAGGTGTGCTGTGCCTCAACTGCAGCATCATTAGGAGCTGCTCATGGGCAGGCTCTGCTCACTGTAATTCAAGGTACCTGAGGACCAAGAAGCTGAAACTGGCCTTATCTGAGCCTGGAAGGACCTCTGGCAAGCTGGGGATCCCCATCTTCTATGTGTGTGTGTGTGTGCGTGCACATGTGTGTGTGCGTGTGCACGTGTCTATGTTTTCTTAAAATTAGATCTTTTACTCTCTGGGTTTTTTCTACCATAATCCACAATTGCCTGTGATTGTTCCATTTTACCTGAATCAAAGTTTATTAAAAATAGTTCTGGGATGATGGCCCACCTCTAGATCGGTGACAGAGATGAAAAGTAGCACCTATGAGGTCTGGGCAGACCCACCTGTCCCAACACTCTGTACACCCGGCCTGGGGCACCTCTTTGACTTTTCATGAGTTGGACAAGAAATAAGGCATACCCTCTGTTCTTCACAGAGTTAATGAAGTATGTCACAAGATTCATTTAAGTTTATTTTATTTTAAACTGTTAGGAACTTTTCAGCCTGAAACAGTCTCCCAAAGACAGCAACACTCCCTTCTTTATAAGAAGATGATGTCCTATAGTTTCCAATAACTTTGACATGTCTTTTTTTTTTTTTTTTTCAGATCAAGGTGAGAGCCTGGGTACTGGAAAATAGCATTACAATTTTAACAAAAGGGAGAAAAAATTGCTCAAAAGTCTGACCAATAAAATGTTTATTCTTATTGCAACCACCAAGTGATACCTTCAAGGTATCACTCAGAATAGGCATGAAACAATTTTACTCTCTAAACTTCAGGAACTCTCAGAAAATTAAAAAAGGCGACTTCTCAGAAAGCATTGTTAGGATTAAATGTGCTCAAGGCAGAAGGAGGCAAAGGATGTCTTTAGAGCTCCCACTTTGTTACCCAGTCTTATGCTTCGCTCTGAGTAGTGATAAAATTCCTGGGACTAAATGAAAGCTTTGTATAAGCAGGAAATTCAGGAAAAAACAACTTGTTTTTCTAAGCCTCCATGATCAGTTTTCAGCAAAGGTAAGAGACTTTAAGCATAGATTCCAGCAGATTTGGGTTTTGTAAACAAGATACTGATGTCTTACCATTTCTCTGCGTCCAGGCTCACCAGGGAAGACATGGACAGGCACTGACAGCTGTATTCTGTACCTCTTCTCCATTGTAAATCAGTCCTGATCCCACTGCAGGATTAGTTTTTGGCGTGCATTTTTCCCTTATGCAGGTAGCTAGGGATGTGAGCTGGAGCGCTTGCATCAGGATTGGGCAACAGGGTCAAATCTGCCACTCTGCAAAACCCTTTCTTATCTAAAGCAAAGGATTAGAACTTCTGAAATGAGCCACATATAAGAAAACTCAGGGAAAAACTGAAAGAAACTCCTATTTCACACCTGTTTTATACTGAGGCACTATGGTGTTCGTGTACACTCTGCTTTTCCTGTTCTGGGCAACCTGAAAGGTGGTCAGGATGCTTTAGTCATGAGTCAATGTACTCCATTGATGGGGAAACCTATGGGAGTGAAATGTTAACTCTGAGGTTTCAGCCGTACACAGCTGTGATAAATCTTAACCTAGCCTCTCTATTCTTATAGACTTACACTGACATCTTCCATATCCCTCCCAGCCCTAGGCCTGCTCTTGCTCCCCTTGCAGTCAGGAGTGGAACTCTGCACAGCTCAGTGGCATAGGTGAGCTCCATAAGGAAACTTCAAAAGAGACAAGCCCAGCCCTACATTATGGCCAACTAAAGCAGGCAAGCACATGGGAAGCAGCAAGTAGCCTGGTTTGAGGTGAAACCTGTGTTAGCAACAAAGGCAAGTTTGACACCTTTGTAATTAATGAGGCAGCTACTTAGATCAAGCCCCAGTCATTGGGAGGAGCCTTGTAAAAAGCAGAGGAATTCAGGGCAGGCTTCAGCCAGCTTTCCCAAGCAGTTTGAGCTGGCCAGTCTGTGGTTCAGGGGCTTGCCAGGTGCCAGAGCTATCAGGCAATCTTGGCCATCGGAAGCCCTGACTACCACCTGTACCTGGGGGAGGATATGTTAACCCTTTGCTGTTGGGGCGTTAGATGTC